TCATCTGGTAAAGTTTTTAAATTTATATTATATATTAGACACGTAATTCGCTGAATCAATAATAATGAATACAAAAGAAAAAATGTCAATCATCGTAGTCCGAGGCATGTTGACGTAATGCATATCTGTCGACACAGATTACATCTAGAAATAGATGTACATAAATAGTTGTGAGAGAACGTTACAAATGCAATAAATTGCACAGTTCAGGTGCGACTGGGCCGCTAGCCAGTTGACACGTGGATACGTATCAACTCATACATCCTTATTTGTTCGGGCTAATTTGAGTTGCGTTTTATATAATGTCGGGAATTCCGCGCTTGCGTCTTTGTTGTAATGTTGCAGCAAATTTTTATTTAAACCAATAAAATGTTCATTGGGTTCTGAACGAAATTTAATTGGTAAATGTATTTTAATATATACAGGTTGACTGGTGAATTACTATCGATACTTGAGGACGTGATATATGACGAACATATATGACAAAATAAAAATTAATATAACATAAATATTAATAAACTTCTAAGTAAAGTTAACCAAAAGTTATGTAATTAATTACGCATCGTGTGAACACCCTACAGATTAGGTATACAAACACACTCACACATACGCGTGCGGCGGCGTGGTGTTGTATCAGCAGTGCCTATTTTTTTTACATAATTCGAATGAGAATCATGTACCGAGTATTCTCCTTAAATATTGATAGTAATTCACCAGTCACCCTGTATAATGCTAATGTTTATTCTGTTGTGTTAAAAATGTTTTAGGTAAATGTGTATGTTAAAATGTTGTTTAATTAGATTTATATAACCTACCTTTTATTTCCTTTGTACCCCAAAATGAAGGAGTTTCATGAAAGAAAAATTTTAGTACATTCCAAAATAAAAGAATTTGCTTTTATTGTGTTTTATTCGTAATATAGAGAGTCAATTAAATTTCATTAAATTAAAACTAGGACAAAAAAAATATATACGTTGTTGTAAATTGTTTATTTAATTTCACTACATATAAGTTACAATTAAGAGATATCCCATATTTAAATAACATATTGTACAAGAGCTAGTAACTAAAAATGCGATTTAATTATTTTATATGTAAAAAAAATAGACAAATCCTACTTAGGATGAGAGACCAATTTTTTTATGGACAATTTTAAAAAGTACCGCCTTTTTGAAATGCCATCTAAATTCGTTTTCAAACGACTGCTTATTCATAGACAATTAATTAAAAAAAAACATAGGCTAGTTTGTTTAAATGAAACCTTATTTAATTTCGTATGCCAGAATATAAAACTTAATTTCTATTACCATATATTATTTATTCAGTGAATAAAAAGAACGATAATTATAAACATGTGCTTATTTTTTATCTGAATTAAATCCATAAATTGGCACAATACATTTTTTATCCCGATTTCGTGTTTTATTCCATCCTCACCAGTGAACCATTTCAAAAATGTCATAGACAAATATCAATTATTTTTAATTGTTAATCTTTATATTTTTATGTGAGTAAAATTATAATTATTCTGTTTTATAGCATTCTCTATATGTATGAAAATTATATACCATACATATTATTAATGTAATAAAAATGATGTCGATTGTAAAATTCACTACTAGTGGAAAATCTAAAGAGTTAACACTACAAAGTTAAATTATATGAAAAATGTTAATCATAAAATTACAGTACGAACAGGTGAAAGTTATTTTATTGTATAATTCAAAAGAAAAACTAATGCGTACGCTTCATTAAGCGAAATAATAGTTTCATTATATTTAATAAATCAGTTGTTTCAAAACACGCGAACGGAACGTATTAATGTTGCAATCGTTAAAAAATTTAGTAGTTTGCCGAAATTATGGCAGATTTTATTTAAATTATCTGGAGGAATTAAGGTGAATTTCCATCAAGATTTTTTCTAAATTTTCAAAGAATACTAAGCAAGTTAAGATAGCAATAGTATGATGAAGGGAATAATCATATATTAAATAAGATAAATTTCAATATACGAGTAACTTTCTTATTTTTATTTAAAATTCAACATCTTACACGCATTGGACAATATACCGACATTAATATCAGGCAATCAAAGAGGTAGCAGTTTCATATTCTAACCACAAAATTATTGCAAATCCTTAGGATCCCGCTTCTATTTGTCAAGCAAAACATAATACATGCTTTATTACAACTGTTTTATACATACATATTAAATGCCAATTTTTATTAAGAAAATGTTGCCCAAAGGGAAAATTTAAACACAAACTATGCATTACATATGAGGATATAAAATATTTTTAATCTATATCAGTATGGATTTCAAGAACAAAAATTAATGATAAATCATACAATCATAAATTAAATTATCGATTATGTTGTACACAATGATCTCTGTATTAGTGCCTGCCAGACAAATATCGACGAGATGTTTCTTACACATTACTATACGTCAACCTCTAACACACGACACTACACCATAGCCAAATATATTGGCTACTAACTACTACTCCTTGGCATTATACCAAAATGTATCCCAATTATATTTTAACACTAAACTTTACATCTCGGATATGTTCAAATCCAATCAAACTCAGTTAATTATCGATATTCATTTAAATGTACATCACTATTTGACGTACACTTCATACGATTAAATATGAGATGAATTAACTTCGATCAAAACAAAATGTCGATATAGTAAAAATATATATTATTGAGACCCCGTTCAGATGAAGAAGAATGTGTTTAAATTATAATGATCAAGTTACTCGTTATCAAACCAGTCATACCTAACAACTAAAGTGCATTTCCTTACATAATGTTAATCTCCCAAAGCGCAGTCGGTTCGATACTACAAAAGTACAAACAATAAATAAACTGCAATTAAAAATACATAGAACTTACACAAACTATACCTATTGTTACTTGTATATTGTTATAAAACGAAATTACAGGTACTTACTGCTTATGGAGAATTAAGCGTATACAGAACTAAACTACACTGAGTGCTGAAATAATGCGAAAATCGGTATATGACGGCTTCATGCTGTATATATAAATGTTACAATAATATGTTACGACTTACATAAAGTTATTAACAAATAAGTGATGCAAAAAATTTATTTAATAGGATGACATTTCATCCTTTCGCGCCATTTTACACTGACAAATGTCATTTGGAATCTGTTAAACTTTCTTTGAGTGCATTATTATTTACTTTGGACGAACAAAAATATGAAAATATGATTGAAATTAGTATGATGGATGAAGACAAATAAATATTTTGAATATCCTTAAAGCTTTTTACACGGCATTTTATTGAAATTTAAAAAAGGTCAATCCACTTACAAACCTTTGTTGAATATCGTTTAACGAGCTGTAGCATTATTATTTTCATACGAAAATTAATATGAAAAACGGTAATGATAGTCTAAATTGATGAACACTTTAGTTAAATGCATTGAATGTTTGCTATACATTCATATAACCAACAGAATCTATGACTCATCATTATTGATCACAAAACGTGTAAACTTTCGGTTAATAAGTTGACGATGGAAACTCGTTCTAAGTTAACGTATTTAACGGAACAATTCCAGTTAAATCCGACGTATTAACGTATAAATGCCGTGTAATATTTAAACATTCCTCCGTTTCACCATCAGTCTCACGGTATTTCAATGTATGAAGAACTATAGTTATAACATTTGATGTACGAACATAATACACCATATGTAATTATGTACTATATAAAGTTCTTCGCTGTTAATAGGTGGATTATAATTATTTATTTTGTATAAAAAATTTTTGGGCTCACACATTTCTGTTACGAAAAATCACGTGAATTATTTTTATAGGAACATAAAACTTCTGTACAAAAATACGTTACATTTTTTTTTCTTCAATTGGTTCTGTTAAAACTATACCTATGTATATATGTTAGTCTACTAAAATTTATAAACTACGGCTTCACTTTGACAAATATCAAATGATTAAATTATGCAATAAAGTTCGCTAGTGCTACTAAATTTGTTACAGTTTCACTAAAATAACATTGTGTGTATACAAAACACAATAATATAATTGTTAATCATATTTTGTTCAAGTATATAAAAAATTGGTGTCCGACTTACATACAGAATATTCGCAAAACTGTAGCAAATATGTACCAAAAAAAGAACACGTATCATATAAAAGTTTGTCGTTTATAATTTTTTTTTATACACAATTATCGTCCTTTATAAATGATATTACAAAAATAGAAATAAATTTTATAGAATGAACGTACCGTCCCTAAGTCTAGATTAATTTGAAAACTATTTCTGGAATATTACTTCAATGCCATCTCAATATTTCAAACTATACAGTCTAAAGCAATTCAAACATTCCAACCAATCACAGGACATCAATTCAATTTAACGACCAATAGTGAATTGAGATTTTCAACCAATCAGATCACTCCGATTTTCCAAGTCAAATTCTCAATACATTTATGGTCTCATTCTCTAAACATTTCTTCTATGCTACACAATAAGCGAGGACCGACAAATGTTTTTAAATTACATCAATTAAATAAATTTAGTTTAAAATTAACCAATATTTACAAGGAATTATATTTATTTAAATGCTCGCGTTTTGGTTATCGAATATAATGAAAATAAATTTAAGTACTCGAAGAAGAAGAAAAAAAATTATCGTTCGTATTAATAATAATATAAAATTAATACTGATAAGATCACCGCTTAGTTGAAACCCTTACAAATGCCAATGGTTTTTATAATACGTATAATTTATACTAGGAAAAAATAATTAAAAAAATATTATCCAATTAAATTTATCGGAACTCCCTCATCGTTTCAAACTATATCCTTATTATTCGAAATCCTATCATCTTCTAACATGCACACACCAACTTAAAGCATGAAACTCTTGAGACTAACGATGTCGATTTTGTTCCTAAATGCTTATAACATAAAGATTATTTTAGCTTAGCAATAATGTTATGAAGGCGTGCTCGATGATTCCATACTGACTGCCGTATGTATGGGTATCTGAAATATATAATATATATAACATATTTATTACATAGTAAGTCAGTGGTGGCCTAGTGGTTAAAGGCCTCTCGTTGCCGAGGGCGCGGGTTCGATCCTGGCAAGTACCAATGTGATTTTTCCGAGTCATATGTACTTTCTAAGAGTATTTAGACATCACTGATAAATGCTGATTCCCAAAAGAGGATTGATGTCAGGCAGGCGGCCGGTCGTAAAAACAAATAGCCAAAACTATTCACAACATGTAAGGCAGACCCTGGTTAAAGCTGGGAAATTGCCAGGTAGAAGAAGAAGAAATAACATAATATTTAGATTTCCAAGATTTTCGCAAATACATATATATAAATGACATGGACTTGTCGAATTACTAATTTTATTTTACATATTTTAACTAAACATTTTGTTTTTACAGACTAGATGAAAGTGTCTGTCAATAAGTCTTCTTATTTATCATCATATATATAACTATATATTTATATCAGTACCTTTCTTCCCGTAGCCAGAGCATCTATATCAATCGGTCTGTCATCCAACACAGCCTCTAACGCTGCAACCAACTCTGAACCTTCCACGAACGAAGCTCCACTCTCCGCTGAAAAATGTATATTAATTGTTATATAAAAGGCATTCTGATTGGTATACATTATATAGAAAATTTTGAATATTAACAATTTAACTCAAAAGCTAATAAAAGGGTTTTTTCTCATACTTCATATCAAAGAATAAATATTTATTTTGATTCAGTATATAATAAGCTGTGAAATATATAAGTCCTATAAATACTAGTTATAGAATAATAAGACACAACCACAGTATAGCCAACGAAAAGAGATAAATTATGAAAACAGTTATATTTTCTTAATTTATAACAGAATGTTTAATTTTTACATATGAATGTCAGCATCATGAAATTGAAACAGGGAATTTATTGCATAATCTCACAAATAGTATATTGTTTTACATACAATTACAGATATAATATAGTACTGTTATATAATTTGAAATGAAATGAGCAAATTAATTGGTTTGAAACCTTGTAAACAACAGGATTCTTGTTGTTAACAATAAAATAATACAAGACTTCTATTGAAATTGTAGAAAACCAATTTGTTGTTCAGAACTTGCTTTAAAAAATTCTAAGACACAATATTACGCATTAGTTATACTTGCTTAGTATCGTAAAGTGTAATGTAGGTTCATCACTTTATTATACTAGGTTTTGTCATTCAGACTAGCTACGTAGCACCATACATACATTACGATTTTAATATACTTTTATTATATACTACAAGTATTAACCTTTAATTTTTCATTTATTAACTTGTTATAATATAAATGTGCATATAATGATAGTTTAACATGATGTTTTTAATGTTACCTTGATTGAAAAACTCAGTGAACTCTTCATCAGGAATCTGACTGAGGACAGACGGATCCAGTATATCATCAGGCGGAACTTGACCAACCTCTGAAATATATAATGAAATAAACGTACAATTTTAAATACAAAACTAATTATGGAATATTTTATCATATTTGTATAGAAAAATTATATTATAACACTCAGTGTAACTTGAGCGAAAGGTTAATCAAGATAAATAATACATGGTAAATTGCATTTGTTAATATAATAATGAAGTTTAATAATATGTATTATAATTAATTTATTTATATAATATGATAATCTGCAATAAAGTACATAAAAAAAATCACTGTCTTTTCTTTTAGCTTTGTTTGAAAATGTAGGTATTAATTGAATTTATATGTGAATTATACTAAAATACAGTGGACCCCCGGTAATCCCTTCCCTGTCTCATCCGGCACCCCCTGTAATCCGACATGATCTATTATTTATTATTGAATACATATTTTGTATTCGCTAATTCATGGTTGAACAAGTTACAACTTGTACGCACCATCATTATTGTGCACGACGCGTGTGATATTGTTTTTATTTCTGATTGCTTAGTTGGAATTTGAATTTGTACTTCAGAGTACATATAAATACATATGTATATTATATTTACATATTATTATTTACATATTATTATATGTAAATAAGAATATCATTGAATCTGTTATTTGTCGGATTACAAGGTACTCTTTTGTAAAAAAATCCGGACTATCCCCTATAGTCTTAGGCAGTACTGTATATTCCAACAATTCGATAGTTCGATACCGTCCTGCAAAATGTTTGTCGGACTACCGGGGTTCCACTGTATATATATAATTATAATATATATACAAAATGTATTCACCTAGTTCATGGGAAGCACTGGCAGTCATGTATTCACTCTCACTGAGTCCTCCCATAGCCGTGTCCTCTGAACTATCATATGTTGATGAATTGGAACACACATTGATTTCTGAAAATAATAAAATAACCATTTAAAATATTCCAATCACATTTAATTTAAATTTTGTATTAAATTGACTACACTCCTATATTGCTGTTTACCACAAAATCTATGAATATTATGAAGCAACAATACACCTATTTTTAAGACCATGCTATAGAGTTAATTTGTTTTGTATTATTAATCAAAGGCACTATTAGATTAAACTTTTTTTTCATTGCACATATTTTTTTCAAGCCAGCTACATTGCTAAGAAGAAAAATATACTAACATCAATCCGACACCAGCTTTCAATGTCAGTTGTGTCATTATGACATTTTTATCAAACTTACATTTATTACCTTTACTTACTTATATTATTTACCTTATTGACCGTGATTAATGTAATAGAAATATTGTTTTATATGTAACAACTACTTCACAAGTGTTAGGAATGCAAGAACTTTATTCTTGACTATTATTTACAAATTATATTATTATCTAACCGGAAAGTGATTGTTCTGCGGTGTTTTTAACGGGAGCCCGCCTGCGTCTTTTCGGGCGGCGTTGTGGGCGAGGCGGACGAGCCGGTCTCACAGACCAAACACGTTTACGGACAGACTTAGGCTTGCTTTCACGACTCAGAAGCTCGTAGTTATCCTTGAACATACAATATAAGGCTCACAACACACTATACACTAAACATCTTATAATGATGACAATTTTATATCAAAGAAACAAATCATACACTGGCATTTTAACATTATATTTCCATAATTGAATTATTGATTTTATTCACTACTGAAGAAATACTACCAACCCTTTTCCAAGCGTGTTCCGTGCATAACGGCGTTTGCTCTTGCAGCGGTAAAAGCGGCTGTTTGCAGCGCTCACCGCCAGCGAAGACAGCGGCGCAAGCGGCGTAAAGCCGCTGTTCGGGCGCTAGAGTGACATGCGATAGACAATACCGACTAGACGGTAGTGGGGGTTGAGTGCACCTCTCCTCGGAACACGTCGATGATTCAGATTTGATACTCTCACCGCCCGACCAGCCGCTTTGTCTGTATAGAGAAAAATTAAATTAATAAACATAATAACTACTTAATGACATCTAAGATTTTCGCGAATAGTAGTTTCATTTAAATAACAACTACTTACTAATAGTGATGTAGAGATGTTTTTACATATATTAATATTACCTAAGCCACCTTCGTTCCTGTTGGCTCAGTACATCAGAGAGACCGCGCTTTGCCAACAAATAATTCAAGGTTTGTGGCGGAAGACGACATGTAGAGCTCTGGCCATTCAATTGTTTCTGAAATAAAATGTTTATAACTTGAAATTGACTAATTATATTACTATCACACACACATATGCAAATGTGCACTATAAATATATACATTGTCTGTGTTAAGTTAGGTTTTTGATATTAATACATTTCGAAAAATGATTTTATGATCCACTTATAACTTACGTTTGTCACTCTTAGATCTATATATCTATGTTATTATGAAAAATTAAGTAAGATACAACTAAAAAATATACAAAATTAACCGTTCAGCAAATCAGTTATAACAGAAAACAATTTTATGTACTAATCATAGTTGTAGGAAACATACATACTGATTGAAATACGAAATATTATAATAGTATAGCATGGCACTTATATAGCACGTACTATAAAATATGGTACTAATATATATGGTAGTTATAATATTTAATATAGTATCTTATAATTCGTTTATCCCTATCATATACCTTAATCATTGAAGCCAGAGCCCTGAGCTCGCTGTGATCCTTGTTTAGTTTCAGGCTGGTGGCAGCCCTGACCACGTGCCTCCTCATAGCCGCGCTGCGGAGCGCCAGCCGAGCCCCGCGGGACTCCGCCGCGCTCTCCTCCACACACACCGGACCCACTCCGATTTCTACATAACATTATATCACATATATGTATATAAGATTTTTCAGAGACATACATTTAAATACAATTATGTTTTTCAGTTAAACTTCTTGTTATTATCATTATTAGATAAAATATATAAGTGAAATGTAATTCAAACGTTTTAAACAGACATATTGAGATTCTGGTGAAATTTGAAAGTTTAACATGCCTTACCAATTTCCTTGATAAGTACCTTCATTACAAATTTGCACAGTTTTTTCAGTATACACTAATATTATGTATGAAGATTTATCAATGAAAAACTCTTAATCTCCAAATATATTTTGGTAAGGCAAACTTTGGATAAGGGTATGGAAAACAAAATATACAATCACAACAAAAATATATTTTAAAATTAAATGTGTAACCAATAATAAACTCATTTTATTAAAGTCTATTGAAATTTTAGGTAAGAAAATATCAATTTTTAAATAAGAATTTCACCCTCATCAACTTTAAATTGTTTCCAACAAAGACCAAGCAAAGTTCAATATGACAAATATGTTTTACTAGATTTCCGTCCGCGGCTTCGCCCGCGTCCAGTTCGGTTATATCGCGTTTCCAAGAAAACCTTTCAAAAGTCTGAGATAAAAACTATCCTATGTTCTTTCTCAAGGTCAACTCTATCTCTGTACCAAATTTCATTAAAATCAGTGCAGTGGTTTAGGCATGAAAGGGTAACAGACAGACAGACAGAGTTACTTTCGCATTTATAATATTAGTAGGGATTTATTGAAAATTTCCATGACAAAAAAAAACCAGTATAAAAATCTTCAAGACCATAAAATAGTCAGGATATCAACCTTTTTGTTTAATATTGTCAATTAAATACAAAAAAAAAACGATACACATAATACTATATTATGTTATGACTCATTTAGTCATTTCAGACTGAGATATTAATATATTTTAAACTTTCATTATATGCTTTCTAAATAGGGTAATTAAATAAAATAATTAATCAAATTCTGCATCATTAAAAACAGAGATATGACTGCATCTTGTTAAAAAAATAGTAATAATATGAATGTTGATTCTAATTATATATTTATATCTGTATAAAAAAACTGAGTGACTCGGTAATATTTAAATAACCACATTTCTTTTAATGCATATGAATGTATACTCATAAATTTATTACAATTAATGTCTGTCTGTTTGTGCTAATCTCTTAAACGGCTAGACCGATTTTGATGGGATATCAACTGGCAGGTACCTGATATAATAAATAGTAACTTAGACTACTTTTATTTTATAATAATACCCCATAAAATACTCCCAATTTTTGCCTTACAATTAATATATATGCGTTTAATCCTCAAAACGTAATTTTTATCAAATGAATTGTAAATAAAAGGTAATAATATTTCATATATTTAATAATTGTATATAGTATTATTATTAATTAATGCCATCAATCAATGAATTTTTAACATATAGAGCATATTTAAGGCCCTTAAAAGAGGAAGTTGACAATGGAAAGACTTTTTTTACATTAGTTTTACATCTGACCTCATTATACTTAATTAGTCAAATGAATATTTAGGAATTTTATATCAAAAAACATGGTAATATCGCCAATTGATTTAAAAAGTAAAATATATTAAACAAATTTATTCTTTTATTAAAGTTAGAAAATAGAATTCTTTTATGTTTAATAGTTAGAATAATTTATTTAAAAAATAATGCATTAACTTAATAATAATTTTACATAATTCTCAAATATTTCTTTAATGGTCTTAAGAATTTACTGTATTTATGCGAACCAAAAATAATCATTGTAGCAAAGTTCATTGACACTAACAAAAAACTCTTAGTATTGTGTAACTTATTCTCACCTCGGCTGTTAAATTTAAATATGAATGCCAAAATATTTACCAAATTCTGGCATATTATCATCATCACTACTGCTCGTGTCCAGTTGTCGGAAGGCATTAACTTTTTTTTCACTTAGAGGTCCACATTCAAACATTTCCTCCCCGGGTGCTTGCCATCTTGTATTTTTTAAGGCAATAGCTTTCCGTTGTAACGGTATCCGTTGCAGTGCCTCATGAATTGTTGGCCCACGACCTTTACGGGGCTTTGATGGAGTTATAGATTTAGCTGCAAAAAGGTTTGAATTATTTATCTTTTTCACATAATAATATGATACAATAACATTGATTCATAATCCTATCACAGACAGTGCATAATAGATTATAGAAATGTTATATAACTAAATGTAAAATACCGATATATAACAATTACATCATTACAAGTGTGATTAAGCTAATTAAATATATAATGACAAAGATTTATTAAACCAATAATCATATGAAATAAATTAACCACAAAAATGCAAGTTATTTGTGTATATTTATAACAGTTATAATTTGAAATACCCATACATAAATCAAAATAGGTTTGAATAATTAAAAATAAATCTTATGAATCGTTTTGCTTATTATTACTGCAAATATGTAAAACATCAGTTTGAAGTTGAAATAATTAATTAAATAACAAAAAGATTATCTTACTTTTTGCCATTTAAAAAATATGAAATACATAAAAATGTATAAACTTGTCATATTTATGAAACAATGGTAATGCTTTCATCTAAGAAAGATTTAAAAACATTTAAATTCTGCTTTTCATCAGAATTTTCTCGAAATAAATAAATACAAATTTATTTTAAAGTTTCATTAGGTTTTGTTTGAGTTTGCACACTAATTTATAGCTCAAATATAACATATTTTTTTTTTATTGAAAGAAAATATTTTATGTTGATATATTTATAGTCTTAAGGGTTGTAGTTAAAAGATAATATATTGCTATTAGATACATACTTTTACCAGAAGTCTGCTTTTTGGCTATAGGTATCGGTGGTTTAATTGGTGTTAGTGTCGGCTCATTTTTAACCGTAGCATTCTCTGTAACACCTTGTTCTCTTTTAAATACATCTAAAAATGTTTCAGATGGAGATATCGCAGGAGCAGTCTTTTCAATATTCTTGCCGTTACTCACAACTGTCTTATTACTGTTTCCCGATAGACTTGTATTGTTAAAAACTGTAGGGCTTGAGATGCTATGTCTAACACTTTCATGACTTTGTACAGAATTCCTCAGTTTCTGACCTTTGGGGGTCGGTTTTGATTCTGTTTCATTTACCGCAATATCATCTATTATTTTAGAGTAGTGACCATTTGTCACGGTATGTTTTTTATCATTATTTACCTCACCATTAGTTAAGGAACCCAATATATCAATTTCCTTTAATGAACTTCCCAAGAACTTCGATTTGTATTCTGAGCTCTCAGGAAATAGGTAATTATCGTCTGTATGACTAACAGTAATCTCTCCAGCAATGACATCGGAATCATGGAAAGTGTATAATTCACTTGGATCTATTTTAAATTTGGTATGGAAGAAGCTATCACTAATATGTGATATATATGACTGTTCATCGCCCGAACTGTCTTGGATGAACATATTTACTTCACTACCGCAGCCCCCTGACACACTCTCAACTGCCATCTTATATTGTGTAGAACAACTCGCATCAGATATATTTTGGGATATACCGCTGAAACTTCACAAAACAGTAATGTAAATGTAATCATGACAATCAAGGTAGAAGCAAGCAAAAATTACCCCACATTTCCAGAAGCACTCAAAAAAGACATGCTGCATACATATTAACACCTAATGATATAAATTATTATTATCGTGTTATAAGATTCTATTTGTTTGGTCCTTTTGTTTCATACTGAAATATCATCACTTATTTAAAGTCACCGAGTTGTTATTGAGGAAAATAAATGTTATTTTGTTTCTAAAGATAGGGCTTTTTAGTGACAATTACAATGACATCTGTCAGAAATAGCAATTATTTATGAATTTCTTTGTAACAAAGCTATCTACGTTGCTTTAAGATATTACTAATTATTAATTCTTGTTGTTTTATACTGTTATTGCACGGTATTTTAGTTTATGTAAACAATAATCAAAACTGAAGAGTATGATTATAAATCATAAAGAAATCTTACATTATCAAGCAGACAACTCACAAATCATTTAAATCCTGCATAAAACCAAAAATAGACACACAAACACTAGCTATACGAAAATAATATAAACAAATTCAATAAAATTTGTTCATGAATGAGAGTTCTGCAACTCAAACTTCAATTCAATAACATCAAATGATTGACAGATCATAGAAAATGGTAGAGCACAGCCTAAAATCGGTAACGTTCAAATAAAAAAAAGAATATATATTCAATTCAAATTACCTTAACATTCTGTTTTCTTGTAATTATTCATCTTATAATATTAATGATTCAATTAATAATTTCAATTATTAATTACATACATTCCAAAATACCATCAGGACCCATTTACAATTGGATGCATGCATTAGCATAAAACAACGAACTTCTAGAATAAAGCAATAACATCAGAATATTTGCAAATTTAAAATCAAATTAAAAATATTTTCAATAAAAAAAAATATAAAAATTATAATTCTAGTTTTATTACAACTCTAATATCAAATATAAAAACGTCTCCGCTTTTCTTCTATTTTTTTCATAATGAGTAAATATTATTGGGATTTGTCGGAGTTATTATTTGATTCGCATATAAACTACTAAAGAGTGATAAATATTAGTTCTTTATGAAAACTTAAAGAGTTTCCTCTGTGTCTTCATAATCTATTTTAAAATTACCGCCACTTTCATTTTGATTTGAGAACCCCTATGTTCGAAGCGTTGTTGTGAATCCAATATGGCGTTATCTGATGTTTTAATATTTTGAAGGTACGTCAATTTGACGATTCTATAATGTGTAATCCGGTAAATATTCTGTTTTTAGAAAGTGTACACTATGAAGACGTTCAAAATACTGTAGTTTGTGTACATAACTAAGTTTTTAAAGTGTAGTGAAAGGCTTACAGATTGTATTGTTTTGTTTGTGATTTCCTATAATTTAGCGATCCATTGTCATACAAAAAAATAATTAGTAATTCCTAATTATTCTTCAAATACAACAGTGAAATATATAAAGTTACGGTGTGTATTTCTTAAGTTTTCATTATGAAAATAATATTAGTTCAGTGGATTGCAATTACCGTAATTATATATGTAGCCTATAGTTATTATTTTCCAATTTATTCTGTACAAATAAAAATACGTATCATGTGTTGTTGCAGAAGTGAAAATCTTTTATTACAAATGGGAGATAAATAAATAAAGAAAGCGGTGCATAGAAATAGCGCCAGAATAATTGTTAAATAATTTGAGTAAATAGTCATATTTGAGTTGACTATCATGACAGACACTAGACGAAGAGTAAAGCTTTACGCTCTGAATGCTGACCGGCAGTGGGATGACCGAGGAACGGGGCACGTTTCATCATGTTTTGTAGAGAGATTAAAAGGTACATCATTATTAGTAAGGGCAGAGTCGGATGGAACTCTCTTGTTGGAAAGCAAAATACAACCTGACACAGCCTATCAGAAACAACAAGATACATTGATAGTTTGGTCTGAAGGAGACAACTTTGACTTAGCTTTAAGTTTTCAAGAAAAAGCTGGCTGCGATGAAATTTGGGAGAAAATATGTCAGGTAAAATGTCTATTTGTATAAATTATAATATTATTTATTTCAGTTCATTAAAATAATAGTTAAAAAATCAACTATAAGTCAGTAAATAACCTCAAACTATCCTTTAATGACTAACAATATGTAACATAAAAATTTAATACATAATGTAATAACTACTACAGTTATATACATAGATATTTAATGAATATTTTTGATATGTAATTATAGGTACAAGGTAAGGACCCTTCTGTTGAGATAACCCAAGACATAGTGGAAGAATCTGAAGATGAACGTTTTGATGAAATGTCTGATAGTGTGCAACCAGTTGAGCTTCCAGCATGTGAAATGGGTCGATTGGAAGACATCAGTGAATTGGTAAACAGCTGCCTAGTTTCACCTGCAAGGAAAGATAAACTAGCAGCGGCATTGGAGAGCCAACATTACATTAAGAAACTTCTTAACTTGTTCCACATGTGCGAAGACATCGAAAACATAGAAGGGTTACATCATCTATATGAGATATTTAAAAGTATATTTCTCCTCAACAAAAACACACTTTTTGACACAATGTTTGCAGATGATACTATTTTTGATGTTGTTGGTTGCTTAGAATATGACCCTGGTTTGCCTCAACCAAAAAAACACAGGGAATATTTAAAGGAACTAGCCAAATTCCGTGAGGCTATACCTATAAAAAATAAGGATTTGTTAGCAAAAATTCACCAAACCTATAGAGTACAATACATTCAGGATATTGTTCTTCCGACACCCACAGTCTTTGAGGATAATTTGCTAAGCACATTGTCCAGTTTTATATTTTTTAATAAGGTAGAAATAGTGAAACTTATAGAGGAAGATGAGAAGTTCTTGACGGATTTATTTAAGTTGCTAATGGATGATAAGACGCCTGACAGTAAGAGGAGAGACTTAGTTCTATTTTTAAAAGAGTTTTGTAATTTTTCACAAAAAATTTACAACCTCAAGACAAAGATGCCTTTTATAAGACATTAGTTTCATTGGGTATACTGCCAGCTCTAGAGATAACTTTAAGTATAGATGATCAGAAAACGAAGACTGCATCTATAGATATACTGACATATATTGTGGAGTTTTCACCATCGGTTGTAAGAGACTATACATTACAGCAAGCTAACAATACTGAGGAGGTATTAAATAATGGTTTTTCATGTTTTATGTAGCTGAACTTGCCTATATTTCATGAATTATTACTACTTTTAGGAACAAATGTTACTGAATATTGTCATAGAACAAATGTTGAGGGACCAAGACCCTGAACTAGGTGGTGCGGTGCAGTTAATGGGTGTGTTACGTATTTTACTCGACCCTGAAAGCATGTTGGCATCGGTCAATAAAAGTGAGAAGGTGGATTTCCTCAATTTCTTCTACAAACACAGTATACAAACCCTTATAGGTATGTATAATACTCATTCTAATATATAAAGGATTTTTTTTACACAACATAAAAATACTACATTTAGTTTTTCTTTTAAAAGAGAGATTTCATTAATAAATTAATTATCAATTGTTTGAATTTTATGATTTATTTCACAAACTATAGCTTTGGCAATACTACTTATACTTGCTGTCCTTGTTGAGCTTTAAATGTTTTTCAGAAGTTCTTAGTTGTATAACAAACCCAACATTAATATATGTTATTCATAAAATTTATACAAAAGTATTATTTTATAATTTTGTGATATATAAAATTCAGTTAAAAATATAGAAATAAATAGTGTAAAGACATGTCTTAATTGATAACTTTAAAACCTTTTTTATATATATTTGTTATTATATATATCTCTTATATTTATTATTTCTTGGTCTATATTTATATTGTTATTATTTTTAACTTTTAATTTTCAGCACCCTTATTGGAAAATACAACAGGTGAGAAACCATTGAAGGAGGATTATCACACTGTGCAGCTTTTGGGACTTGTACTTGAACTACTTTCATTTTGTGTTGAACATCACACATACCACATAAAAACTTGTATATTAAACAAGGCAAGTTGTATAAGTATTTCTTTCTTTTTTATTTCACAATTTGATAGTTATTATAACTACTGAAATCAGCATAATGTATTGTTTTTATTCTGTTTTTTATTATTCATTAGTAGCATATAGCATATTCAATTTTAATAGTTTTATGAATCAAGTAAAACTTTCATTTAAATATAGACTATATTACTTATTTTTTTTAGAAGTAAAGTTGTATTTTTTAATTTTATTGTAGAAATAACTATACAATGATTATCATGACTATTTCATCTTAATTTTCAGGATCTTTTGCGGCGCATTTTGGTTCTCATGAGGTGTACACATACATTCTTAGTTCTCGGAGCTCTAAGGTTTATGAGGAAAATTATTGCTCTTAAAGATGAGTACTATAACAGATATATAATAAAGGGAAATCTCTTTGCACCGGTTGTTGATGCTTTTCTTAGAAATAATGGCAGGTATGTATTATTGAGTGCTCCATACAATAACCTTTATGTGAATTACTTTATTAGTGCTACTCTTCTTCTACCTGGCAATTTCCCAGCTATAGCCAGGGTCTGCCTTACATGTTGTGAATAGTTTTGGCTATTTGTTTTTACGGCCGGCCACCTGCCTGACATCAACCCTCTGTGGGAAACAACATTAATCAGTGATGTCTAAATACTCTTAGAAAATACATATGACTCAGAAAAATAACTTTGTTACTTGTCCGGGCCAGGATCGAACCCGCGTCCTCGAGCTTAAGAGGCGGACCTCTTAACCACTAGGCCACCACTGAATTTTTTGTCCTATTATATATTATAAATAAATTTTCAGGTACAACTTATTAGATTCTGCGATATTAGAGTTATTTGAATTCATTAAGTTAGAAGACATTAAGTCGCTGTGTTCACATGTTGTGGAAAACTATGGGAAGATCTTAGAGGATGTGGAGTATGTACAAACGTTCAAGGCTTTAAAGACGCGCTACGACCAACACCAGGACAAACTTAAGGAACGGGATCGAGGTTAGTAAAGCATTTATGACTACAAATTTACATAATAAAGCCGTTTTAAGGGGAATTACCCAGCTTTAAGGAAAACATTTTCTTTTGCTTGACGCTTAGAATGATTCACTATGGGTCGTAAATAAAAAATGTACATACATTGAAACTAATTACTTCTGGCAATACACAATTTCCTTTTAATTCTCCATTATTTATCATAACTCGCGAAAACGTTTTTTCTCACATCCGAAATTTCGCAAACAGTGCCTTAATGTAATAAATTCTTTTAAGTGTTGTATTATTTCCACAAAAAAGCTGTACTACTACTTTCCTTTAGCATTTATATAGTAATATATATAGGCGGTGTACACTCTGTCTGAACAACTCTTATTTCAAACATACTTATAATCTGATCTCCCAGTTTGTATTTTTGATACCTATTAATTCTTCAGATGAAAATTCCTGGTGTACCTCACATATAGTTATATCTATCTATTTTCTGTTCATCTTTAGTTATACCCAAGATTTAGTTTTGTTCCACCTTTCGTTTTATTAATATTCTTAAGATATGAAGATTCTTCCTTAAGATATGACTATAACAAGTCACTCAAATAACATACAGCTTATTGCCTCATAAGTCGAAAATATGTAGACTTAAAAATTACAATAATTTTATGTTTTACTGATGTAATTTTAGCAAAAATATATACTTTTCTTGTTAGTTATTACAACTATTAAAACTTTTACGTTTAAGATTGATAAAAGATATTTAAATCGTATGCTAGTTCAAAGTTACGTCATCTATGCTTTCAAGATATTTTATAATACATTGGATTATAACAAAGAGTACATTGAAAAAGTTTATAATAGATTTACTAAGTGTCTAATATTTATTTCTTAGTTTTTAATAATTGTCATAATTATCTCCGTCGTGTTAGAAAACCAAAAGAATCAGTGATATCATACTCAAATACACAAGTTTGCATTCTAATTACGTACGGAGCCTTTACAGTTATGTTTTCATGAAAGTAAAACTAGATACATTTCATATTCAGTACTAGCTTTCAGCCTGCAGCTTCGCCCGCGTGGAATTCGGTTATATCGCGTTTCCAAGAGAACCTTTCAAAAGTCTAGGATAAAAACTGTCCTATGTTCTTTCTCAAGATCAAGTCTATCTCTGTACCAAATTTCATTAAAATCAGTTCAGTGGTTTTATCGTGAAAGCGTAACAAACAGACAGACAGAGTTACTTTCGCATTTATAATATTAGTAGGGATTTCGTGATGTCAATCTACAAATATTAGTTCTACTTAAACTATGGAGGATTAGCTGGGACTATCAAAAAATCCTACAAAGTTTTGAAATCTATTGTTTATCCTGTTAGAAAGACAATCTATTATGATTTTTGAGTTTTCCTTTTATGTGCTTGAACGCGTAACAGACAGACAGACATAGTTACTTTTGCATTTATAATATTAGTATTGATGATATTGGAAACAGGACATATTCTTAAATTTTTTATATGATAATAGTTATAATGTTCCCAGTGAGCGGTAGTGTCGCTGTAGCGGAGGCGGTCGTACCGTCTCTACTGCGGACGAGATACCGCCGCGAGGCTCGCCAGCCTGATGATGAAGAAGAGATGTGGTTCAACGACGACGATGAACTAGAAGACGACGCGCCCCTCGACGCCGCTGCAACACACGCGACCGCGCACCACGCGCTTGACGCTATAGGTTATATCACTCAACTAATAATCGGATATTAATACTAAAAGACCCAGCGAACTTCGTATCGCTCTATAATCAAGAAGTATCTGTTAGGTTTTTTTAATTATATTTTTGAATTTTACCTATTAAAGCCATAAATCTCAGTGTTTTGAAGTGCGACAAAATGATTGACATATTAATTAGTTGTCAAATCTAATGTCAAAAAAAACGTTTGTATCAACAACTACTAATAAATTAAAAATTAATTAAAAAAACATTGTCCAGCGGACAAAATTGTGAATCTAAACCGTTCCCAGATCCCCTTGAACACACACACAAAATTTCATCAAAATCGGTCCAGTCGTTTGAGAGAAGTTCAGTGACATACACACTCACAGAAGAATTATATATATAAAGATACTGTTATTAATATAGTATCAAAAGTTCATTGACCCAGCAACATGATATACTTGCAAGTTGGAACCATTCACTTGTGAATATTTTCCATTATACACTTCGTTTTTTAATTTTAATTCAAGTATTACAATATTGTTATACGAATCATTCATACTAAAGTCTAATGTTACGCCATATATTGTATGTTAGGTATATGCTCGAAACTCCGTAATATCGGTATAATGAGTAACTAAATACCTTAACTATGGGATTGAAATAAAGAAAACGTGAAACATTTTTGGTAGGTTTTATATACCAAATACACCATCGTTTAAATGTTGTTCTATTACGTAATACATTTTAATAATTATACAATGTATATCTTCAGGCAAGATAGTGGAAAAGAAAGTATGTTCGAGTACGGAGACAGTGAACGGTCCTAGCAGGGTGTTGCTCAGCACATCTCCCAAGCCTGTACACACCGACGTTCAGGTATCCACGCCCAGATTACTCAATAAGGTAAATTAGTTCATTTTGTTGCTTCCATATTGCAATCATCGCCGGTCTTTATCTATTTAAAATTACTTACAAGGCATTCTAATATCTAACTGCCATTAATTCAACATATTAAAAATTTTAAACAACATTGACAAAATTCTATTAATTAACTGTTTTTGACAATAATATTGTGTATAATGAACTAATAGTGATACTCATTTGTTTTCAGGGCCTGGTTGACTACGATGGTGATTCAGACGAAGAGGATGAAGGCGGTACATCCGCTCACACTCCTGGCGAAGAACGTGACGCCAAGCGGCCGCGGCTCGCGTAATATACACGTGCGGTAATATACACGTGTTTAATATCAAGGAATATATATAATTGAGCGGATCATTCGCTCTTCAACCAACCCGTCTCTTAGCTGTGCGACGCCTATCCAGATATACTCTAGGAGCAGTACATGCATATATTTCTGTGGTTAGCAGTGATAATTTCCACTATGTATATAGTGTACCACAATAAAATTGAGTAAATGTTATCCAATGTAGGTAAACATTTCAGGATAGATCGTTTAAAGTACAAAGGTGTTTGTGGGATATATATAATATTGTAATGATCATCGTTGATTGAATTATATATGTATATTTAAATTAGTTTGTCACAACAAGACCAATCTCTATGGGAGTCTTCAAATTTTATATATTTGCTGTGGAATTGTTACTCGTTTGTGGTGTTTGTATGAACATATTCTTAATTATTTAATTCGGATCACTTTGCACTTATATTTAATTGCATTCCTATTTTTTTTTTCAACTTCTCAGAGATATAATTTAATTGTTGAATGAAATGAAAATCATTTTGTATTATTTCTTTTTATAAATATGATTTTTAGAAGAAAATTTGGTTTTATTTAGTACATTTTCACAATGGAAACATCTAAATTGTCCTTATTATTCCCAATTGTTAAGTTTGTTCCTTACCATGTAAGATTATTAATTATTAATATCTGTCTATATACATGTTATAATAATATTTATTCATAAAATAAAATGATTTTTATTACATTTGTGAAATATTTATGTTTTACGTTATTTCATTTATAAATTTTATCTCTGAGAAGTGACTATTGTTTCTTATTTTTTTAAACATCTAGCCGCACTTATATTTGGATCTCTGGCTAAAAATTTTCAATGAGACAAAATTATTTTTATATTCATGACCATAATTATTTTAATTTAATTAAATGAGATCCAAATATTTTTGATGTTAGTTATGTTACTAAAGTTCTAAATGATATCAATTTCTTCTGTTAAAAAACACAATCTCGTGATTAAATTACAAAAATATTCGTGAAAAATTTTGAAAAAAAATTGGAACACAAAACAATTTTTTTTTCATACAGCTTAACTAGCTTAAGTAGAATAAGAGCTATGTGGAAATTAAGAAAATTAAACACCTACAAAAAAAAAACAAGCATAATTTGTATGGAGTAACATTAAATCGATGTTGTTTTATCAAAGTCAGATTCAGTTGCCGTCTCGCTTTATATCTTGATAACAGATATGTGATAAATGAATATCTAAATAGGAACAGTTTAATTTTATTACATTAAAAAATATATATAGTTTAATCATTTTTACTTTGTAAATAACATAGTTATAATATAGTATTGGTAAAGGCGATCGATTTTGTCATTTGCCTGAGTTGTTTTGTATTAGGTATATTCAGTGTGTGATTGCCCTAATCATAACTATACTTAGGAGTTAATATAGTATTGGAAATAAGGGCTGTGTAAACATTTAATACAACAAATTTCTTATGATAATAACCAACATTTTGTGTGAAGGGAAAATAACAAAATATAATTTCATAGTTTTATAAATGACAGCTAATTGTTCTAATGCGGTTTTATATAAAATATTATTAAAGAAAATATTAAATTATTGATTTTCTAATATTATTATATAGTGTATAATATGTATTGTATAACAATTAATTTGTATCGTGCCCTATGCCAGAGTAATTATATGTATGTATGTGATTTAATAGTCTTTAAATGCCATACAAGAAAACTTTAAATTTGACAAGTTTTATAACATGTATAACTTTGGACATCAAATTTTCTTTTTAGATATTTCTCAAGACATGTTTTCTTATTTTTCATACAACTTACAAATACAATATTAGATCGCCCCTATATATATTTATATATAATCCGATCCAAATAAACAGTTTGGTTGTAACATCATACATAGCTAGCATGATTTTTTTGACATTGTTTTAATATATATCATTAGAGAGTGAGCACAATAAATAATTATTTTATGCAATTTTGATCCTTATAGCATGATTGTAAAACGCTTCAAACTAATTGTTGAATGCATGTTTAGAAAATAGTAATTTATTTGGTGTGTATTATTATAATTATTTTTCTTGTACAATACGTGATATTTTGTGTGAATATTCATTGGCGTTCATACAAGGAAATTTCTAATCACTGCAACATTATATATAAATTATTTTAATGCATGTGTATCTGCCCTAGGAAGACATATCAATTTTTTATATATTTGACAAAGGAATTATTGATCTCTGTGTTAACGAAATAAAACTATATAACCAGTTACATTGATGATGGTCACGTGGAAATAGTTGAACAGGTACTAACATGAAAATAAATATACGAATTCGATTAGTATTGTAACAGTTTAAAACTTTTTATACGAATTATATTATATTGTTTGTCGATAATTATTCAATACATGTTTTTTTTTTGGTACCTAAATGTTAACCTGTTCAATTATTTTCATTTATTTATATTTTTTTATTTCTCGAGTGTTCTATTTCGTACACGTGATATAGGCGTTCATTTGATATGCACAGTTAATGCGAGACTTATTATTACATACGTGGAATGGACGTGTCAGAGAGATTGTAAATAGATGTTTTATGTATAACTTTATTTTGGTATCTGTCAGAACATCCACGTGTATAATAGCGTAGAGCTGTCAATTAGATTTATACGATACTTATATTCCTTGAAATAAATTCCCGTTGAAAATGGATTTTTAGATGAAAGTAGACTGTAACAACTATTTTTTATCTGTCTAGGTGGATGACCATCATAAACTAATTTATACACAATAAATTTAAATAGATTTACCTATTGGCGAGTTGTGTAAAATAAATAAGCTTACTATAATGCTATTATTATGATGTCACTAGTTACGTAAGCAATATAAACATAAGGAAATATGACATGGCGTTTATTTATTTATTCAGCCCAATGAAATAATTAAATTACAATTGCTTATTAACGACTTCGGTTTTGAGTTTGGAAGCTAAAGCCTTTCTCATTAGCATGGCGTCAGATGCAGGTTGTGGTGTGTTTCCAGCCAGAGCAGCCTGCGCGGCACGAGCAGAACGTGGTCTGGCCGAATGTGATAAACCTTCACCTAGATTGATATTGAATTTAATATTCGAAATTCAAAAATTTAAGAATTAAATATTAATAGCCTACCTGCGCCTTCGTTTTGTAACGAACCTAATTTCTTCTCTCTGACCTGCTTCTTCATTGCTAGCAGCTTATCCCTTTGCTGTTTTAAATATTCTTGGCGCTCACGTATATCTTCCTCACTCACCTAAAAATATAAACCTTTAGTTACGAATCCCTTGCTTAAGTTTTAATTATTATATTTACCTCCGTTTTAGTGGGTATCATAATCTTATTTAATGGTTCGACTTCTTTCAGTTTCTTTTCCGTATCTTGTTTTGGTGAGCTTTCTTCTATGTTCTCAAAATGCTGAAGCTGCGTTAGTAAAGTTTGCTTCTGTGCTACAACCTCTTCTTTTGGGACAGTGATTTCGTCTTTAACTTCGAAATCGTCCAAATGCAATCTAGATAAAAAAATATATAGTGAATAGAGTCCCTCTGTGCGTAAGACGTAAAACTTCGTAATTGTAGATGATTCTTATCCACTAACTTTGAACAACAAATACGTATTTCACGACGCTCTTACTTCGCTGCATAGCAAGAATAGCATGCGTATGTGCTTAGAATCTACTCACTCTCTTTTTCACTCCTTTCTACATTTGTGCATCTTTCTTTTTCTCTCCCTCAACATAAAACATTTTACGCAACCTTGTTTAAAGTCGCTTAAGAACTTTAACCGAAATCAAATATGAATGGTAAAAAGTAGATAGGTACTTACTTTTTTATCTCCGTCATGACGTCATCGCTGTCTGCCCAATCTGAATTCTCGGTGCTACCAGATGAATCTAAGTTCTCCGACTCCTCATTGAAGAGATTAGGTAGAATGCCATATCGCTTTTCAATCAACTCTAAGGCCTACGGAATGTAAAGAACCGTCAAATTGAAAACTTTTTCGTGAAGATTCTTACGAAAATAGGTGCAATCGCCAGATATGTAAAATGTAATAGATGTCTTCATATAAAATAACTATTACCATTAGGCAAGTATTTTCTCAACACAGTCGAAAGAAAATATATCGATTTCACATAAAATTGGATATGTTTGTGACATTTAGTGCATTGTAGATACTTTATAGTATTATTATTGTGAGCAAATCAAAGTTTACAAACCTGTAATTGAAGCTCCACATTCTTATGCGTCATCATCTTTACGAACATTTCATAGTCATTTGCTGCCCATATCTGTTCAAAGAGACGCTTGTGAAAATATGATGGTAGACCGGCGAGGTCATGCGCTGATAGTCGGCAGGCTCCTTCGAACTGATCAGCTGATATGCCAATGTCGTCCATGAAAGATCCCAACATCACATCCACCTGTTACATAAATCACATTTTTATATATATATTTTTACCAACAACTTTATTTATTCCAAATAAAAATTACCAAGTTTCGATATTCGTCATGGATTTTCTTGTACTCGGGTTTGTCAATTACTTCCCCATCATCAGTTGGTTCGAATGCTGCAATGCAGTTGATTAATTTATATTATAAAATACAGCACCTAACAATTAAACAACTATTTTGGTAGCTTACGAAGTGATTTTTCTTCAATAAATGTTTGTAGTGGTATATTCCAAACCGGACCATGTAAAAAACCAACAAGTGAATCGAAGACCCACGAATTGTTATCTAAATTTTCCATGTCGTTATATTTATAATATCAATTACAGTACCGCATATGCAGTAATAAGTGCTAGTCAACAACTAATTCGCTAAGGCTGAAACGATTACCTTGACATTTAATTTTTATTTGTATGATGGTTGCTATGGTTATGTTACTGATGTACATTATTTTTACTACTTTAATGATTATTATTATAAGTCAATTGTTTGAGTAGTTCATTGTTTCTCCTCCGACCTTTGTTATTATTTTAGACTCAATAAAGTTTTGGTATTTATATTAATTTATGAATATAAGTCATATCTAGTCTCTCAAAAGACAAAATTTTACTATATGCCTCAAACTTTTTGTTTATTTATCATATGTCGTAGTGGAGGAGTAAGGATAACGGGAGTGACGTTGGGCAGAACAATAACGGATAATAGTCGTAACAGCGGACCATAACTTTATACAATTTTAAATTTTATGTTCAATATGTGAAATGTGATCTACTAGCTTAGAATTTAGAATAGATAGTCTCAAAAAACGTTTTCATGTAAAATGTTACCCAGATAAAAATTATCAGATCTCAAGATAATTGCTAAGTTTCTAGCGGTCTATGATTCCCGAAATAAGTTTTCAATCAGTAAATTCACAGTTGAAAATGTGGCTTGGTCATTTATTCAATATAAGAAAAGTAACAAAGAGTAAATAATTTTTTAATCTTACACTACCAACTGTAAATATGTGTACCAAAATTTCTTGTCGACCTTTTCGAATTTCATCATGAATAAAATAGGTAGGTACGTAAAATCGTTATCAGATAATATTTTCTAACACATACAAGTGTGCCTGTGCTTTTACTCGAAAATTGAATTTACCAGCTTTGGTTTTATTTTGCCGCATCATCAGCCGGGACTGACTGTAATGCAGTTACTATTAAATAAAAAAGAAATGTAATATAATTGCAATTAAACATTATGTTACACTATAGAAGCAAAAATCTTAAACAAAAATGAGTTTTAATATATATTTATGTAGAGACTTGCATCATTACTTAGAAATGATCTTTTTTAGATTTTTTAAAGCCAGGCTAGTTATATTTTTACTAGCACCAAGAAAAACAAAATATTTGTAAATAATAATCCAAACATCTTGGTTATTAGTAAGAATATAATAAAAGGCTTTATTTTAACAATTGCTTAGCTTTCGAACGTGGACCGTGTTGATAGCTGTCAAAAACTAACTGTCAATTTAAATTTCAATTCTCGGTTCAATCAATACGATCGATATGTTTTATCGAAATTTATAAATAGTGAATTAAAATATACGCCGAAATATATAGCAAAAGAACTCACTAAACCTAATTATTTTAATGCAATTTTTTTTTATTTGGAAATAATTATTGTGATCATGATGATCCAAATTCTGTCATAAATTCTGAGTTTTTATTAAATCTCAAAATGCCGAACAATAGCAAAACAATAGAACACGAGAATGTTAACGGTATAAAATTAAGTCTTAAAATTAAAAGTCGCAGTAGTACACCCAACTCCCAAAAATTTATTGTGTCGTTTAAAAGTAATCGGGAAAAATCGGCATGGCACTCTAAATCCTTGTATTTGTCTGTAATATTTAATTTGTTAGCCTTGTGGTATGTTCGCATAAGTTTACATGCGATATTAGTTATTGTGATTGTTTTGTCATTTCTTATTTTCTTCTGGATAACGCACAGCGTTCAATCTGGTTAGTGGCTGAAGTTAAATAAATGAATGAAAAGAATTGAATTTTAATATACTGTAATTTTTATAGAGACTCTTCTAGTCATTCCGACTGTCGGTATCCAGAGTTCGGTTAAATATGTTTATGGACAAGAAGATTACTTTGTACCTTGGTCCAGTATTGACGATGTTATCATTAATGAAGTTATACAGTTGGTAAGTCATTTATAATAGAGACAAACCAACCTAAGAGCAGTAAGTAATTTTTGGTGTTATTTTTCAGAATCGAGTACTTTATTTCCTCACTTTGATAGTTAAAAGTGGAAGTTCATCAAATGATGGGGATTCTACAAAATTAATACCACTTTTTAAGGTATGTTTTGGTTTTAAAACTTCGCAACATTATTTTCTTCATTTATTTGAATATAATTACATATTTATTTAGTTATTAAATATATACTTAAACAAAAAAATTCTTTATACTATTGAGATTGTCACATTTCATGTATATGATTATGTAAATCATGAAAATAATATACTTTTTTAATGTTTATGCTTAAATTATGTAAATATATACTTATTAAACTGAATATAGTTTAAAAATGTTATTTATTTAAACTTATTAGCTTTTAGCATTCTTTTAATTATAATTGTTGTGTAGATGTTCGTACTTAGGGCAGCTCTCTTGGTTGATAGGTTTGTTTCAAAATGTGTTAGATAGAGAGAGGAGCTGCAATGGTAGAGGTGAATTGAACATATGTATAGAAGCCCCTTACACCTACACCTGGGTCGCAAGTCCCAGGCACTGTTGAAGCTCCTCTCCCTGCAACACAATAAACCTGGCACCCGCACAGCCAATCCATGGAATGCTAAGAAATTTCGTCTTTTATTTCAGTACACAAAACCAAGACTTGTGATGCTTGAAACGATATATTCAGAACTACAAGTTCTGTTGATGGCATCTCAAAAGAAGGGACATGATTTGGGATCCGGTGACAAACAGGATGTTGGTTGAACTAAGGTTGAAAATGGCCTACATCTAGTAATATTAGGTTAAAAGTATTATTATAGAAATGTAGGCAATAAATGCAATCAAGTATTTTGCTTATCATAGTGGAATTTCATTATAATGTATGACATATTATGACTTTGTAGTTATTTCATTCTTAATGTTATTAAATATTAAATCTAATATTATATAAAACTTATTATTTATGGACAAAAAATATATAAGACATGTTGTACATTTAATATAAGTATTTAAGTGCAGCAATGTATAAATTTTCTTTTATTTATTTATGCTGTGGCTTATGGATTTTGGAAAAAACGTTTTTCTTTAATGAATATTTAAATTGACATGTAAAAACTTGACATTGTGTGACAAGTAATTTAGAAAGTAACTACGATTTTTTAACAAATGTTTGTTAAATCTATAATTTTCAGTAATTTTTTTTATTGAAATTTAAATGACAATATTGGCGCCAAAAACGCTGTTCTGTAATGGCGGACGCCACATAATCTGAGTGACATCACAAATATGTAATCAATTCCCACAAAGTAAAGTTATAAACAGTGGTTACTTGCTTCTGACGTCACACGAGGAGTAGTTAATCACAAAGGGTTTTGATAGCTGAGGAAATATAACAAAATACTATGAATTTATTTGTTAATTTCGCAAATTTATGAATATTTTCAGATAAAATAAAGATAAATATGTTTTTGTATGTCATTACCTAATAAGATATCACATTTCGTTGCATATTTGTAGATGTTGAATAACCTATTAAATATAGGGAACATAGTTAATATAGACTGTATTTGAAGAGTGTCTTCAGTTTCTTGTCTGTTATATACCGTTTTTCCTTTGTAGCAAAATATTTTCACAAGAAAATTAATAATAAAGCAAAAGAAAAACAAAATTAATATTAAAATGTATTATTTATTGAATGTCAGCGAACAATAAGATGTTAGTAATTTACCTTGTAAATATTTTATAAATCCTTTTTGATGTTCTCAACTCTCAAGCATTCCTATACATCTCTACTTCATGAAAAAAAGTACTAACACGAGTAATGAAAGGCATGAAAGACATCTCAAGAAAAATTAACTCAAATTGCTAAGATTTTCGAGATTACTCATTAAAATAAAAATATATTTATCAGTTATCACTAGCGTTTTTTATTTTTACTGTACCCTGACGAGTATGCTTTAGTTAAACTTGTTGTTTATCATTTATTGGAAGCAATTTCTTTATTTCCTTGCCCTGTATAAAGAAAGAAACGAATGTGTTCTTATGGACCTTTAGTTTAAAATTGATCCGAATATCCTAGGTGTATATCCCCACCAGTCGTAACATACCACAGATAAAACTAGTTATATATCTATCTTTACGGTTGTGACTTTTCTTGTCCAATGTGTGTTCACTCTTAATTTGGACCTACGTCTATATTTTATGTCCGAGTTTGTTTATTCACCCTTGTTCATACGTTGCTTTATCTTTATTACTTTGAATCAAGTTCACACCCACTTGTAAGGGGGTCGATAGACTTAATTGATTCCAAAAGTTTATTCAATTTTTATTTTGATCGAGACCTTTTAGATTTAAAGATGATTATAATAATAAATATGAAAAAAAATGACATTGTGTTCAAGACGCTGAAAAAGTTTACTGAACTTTATATATAAATTTTATTTTTCATAGAAATAAATTGTCATCTTGATTTCAACAAGGTTAGGGTTGTCGTGGGTCTAAGAATCTATTATTGTTATCAAGTAACTGACAATAACAGGTCGTCTTCGCGATCTTTTAGACTTTTAACAATTTTTTTTGAAGACAAAAGGCCACGTTGTTATTATGAGGGAATATCGAGGAACCTACAAATAAGATCTTTGTAAAGAAAGATCTGTATTCTTGGATCAAGATTAAATCGTCACATGTACCTATGTATGAAGTGTGAGGATGCCAGGGCCGTTTTATCCATTAGGCATTATAGGCAACTGCCTAGGGGCCCTGCCACGTTCAGGGGCCCCTGTGCTACAGGGAAAAGAATGGGCAATGTTTCTTAAACAGTAAAAAATTAATTTGAAAATTTGCTCTGTACATTACATCGACGCTATTTTAGTACTTATACTTATTAGATATTACTATTATGATTATTATTATAGTTTAAAAGTTTATGACGCAGTAATATAATTGCAAGCAATTTTATCGCGGTAATTTAATTAAAAACGCTCAAAACTCTTTGTTGTGAATGCACACTTACTATACTGGTACCTACCAAGTATGTATATTCTATGGCCAAGCTACTTTCATAAGGTTGGCACTTTGGCAGTACTGGTTCGTTGGCATGACCGGGGAATTCCCCGAGTCGTTAAATACGTACTGATGATGTGTCATAGACATTATTTTCGAACCATTTTCAATTAAAGCGTTCAATTTTTACTTCGTGCAATTCGTTTGCAAGTTTAACGGCTGTGAATAAAAAGAGAGTTTTACAATTTGTGTTTCAAAAATTACGAATTTAAGGCTAAGTGTTGGATATTTATTTATAAAGACTGCAGAAGGGCTTCAGGCTTTGTGAAAATCGGTGAAACGACGGGTTAAAAACAATGTAGTAGAAAACTTAAGTTTCATCAACTGAAGTTAAAATTACTTTACGTAAGTTTTATTATTTTTTACATATTTTATTACCTGATACAGGATTTGACAAATGTGTAGTGTCGTTTTATTATTCAATTGGATATTTTAATTAATTTCTATGTTATTAAATATTTTTTACTTTGGGTGCTTATTAATATTAAGCAGGAAACTATTATTATTATTATATTGTTTGAGCTGCTAAGGTGAAATTTTCTTTACTGTTTTAAAACAAAAGATTATTCCTTTCAGGAACAAAATGTCGGAGGTACCCGTAAAGAAAAAGCATCAAAGTGGTTCCGAAAAACGTAAAAAGCGGCAAGAGCAACAAAATAAACTTAATGAACAATTAAAGAAGACACAAAACCTTTTCGAACTCGGATTTAATCGCGAATTAAAGGAACATCAACCTCAAAACCGTTTAAATTCATTGGCTATAATGGCAATTGAAAATGACGTGTTGGAGAAGATTACCTTTCAGGATATCTTGAACGATTTTGTATCAAAAAAAGTTAGAAGAGTTAATATTTAAGCTATGTATGTTTTTTTTTAAATGCATAAATAAACATTCTGTTCATTTGATTCAACATTTTTATTGAATAATATGATGATATACCCAGGTTAGTAAAAAACGGTGTAATTTTGAATTTTGCTGTGTTAACGAAAAAATTAGAAGAGGGTAGGGGGCCCTGGATGAGCATTGCCTAGGGGCCCCGACAGGCATAACCCGGCCCTGGAGGATGCCACGTTAATTATTGATTGATTAAGTTTATTCATGACAGGGAAAATAATTTCTTTTGATTGCTACTAACAAAGTGAAAATAACATAACCAATTAATTAAAAACAAAAGTACTCTTCAAAAACGTTTTGTTATTAGGTTAATGTAACTAGAATTAGATTTATTTCAAGAGATAAGCTACCCTTCGTAATAATTGAGATACTTATAATGTTTATTTGATTTTATTGGAGTACAGAAATACATACTTAATTTTACAGTTAAACATTTGATATATCTTTATTTGAATAATGACATAGGACTGATACTAATACTATGAATACATTTATAAAGTGAAACACAACGTCTGTTATAAAAAGTTTTAAATTTGCTGATATTTCAATTGTGTCGATATGACTACAACTTTCAAGAAGTAAAATGTACAAAGAAAATATAAATAATTTTTATGGGTACATTAGGTACTTAATTATAACATACTTCTCTTGTTTATTCAAATGAAACTGTTAGGTGTTGAATACCTAACTAACAAGTAACACCTTATTATAACACTTGCATACAAAATAAAGTCACCCAAGTAACACCGTAAAATGAGCCTAGTGCGCCAATAATACATCATCAACATATTGTGTACATTAAGATATTAATTTAAAGTGGTAATTACCTACTAATAATTCAATACCTTTTAATGTACCTTTATTCTCGTATGGCATCACTCGTGTAGTGACAATCATTCAATATGATCAGTGTGGTCAATAATAAAAATAATAATCAGCAAGATTTGGATGTTCAGATCACAACTATATTAAAAATACGAATGTTTTTTGGTTTTTATCATAATGTTTTTGAGAAAAGCTTAATTTTAAGGCTGCTATTAAAGGCCATTCTGTTAGTTTTTGGTGCGGCCATTATATATACGGGGACACTTAGCAGATCAAAAGAATATTCCACATTGAATCACTTTATAAAAGTCTTAGAATACATAACATACTTTGTATTGTCGCTTAAAACTGAAAATGTCTATCTTTTCCGCTACTTTCAGCATGATCCCATTATTGATACTAAACGTTCAAATCAATCGTACCAGAAAGTTGTTAAGTTTACGCTCTCCTTTCTTCTCCTCATTATTGTTTTCTACTTTGTTTTATATGGCTCTGTTACTTACGCTAAATATTTGGCAAATTCAGGTTACCTCCTCGAATACATATGTTTAATTTTCTTTCGATTATCTAGTGAATTAGGAAGAGTACCTGTGTTGATGGTGTTGCTTTTATTCTATTATCGAATGAAACTGTTTTGTTCTTTTGTACAAGAATCAGCTTTGAACACAACATCGACATTTAGTATAAAGAGGTATATAGATATGTATTATCGCAACTTGGATTCCCTTAGTCAAACCGATGGATGTGTAAAGCTGATGGTAATTATTGAACACCTACCATTCACAATGAACTCGTATTGTTAATACTTACACCATACAACATTACATATATCTAGTCACTGCATCGTTTGATTATAGCATCACCAAAAGTACCCGAAGTTGTAATATCTCATAAATATATTCTTAGTATATTCATTATTTATAATAGAATTATAGGGTGATATATAAACATTTTGTAAAACTGAAATGTTCTTGGTCTTGGT